TGACAAATGGGAACCGGGATTGAAAAATTCCATGGTTCTTGACCCACTTATCATAGTTTATGACTGCGACGAAATCCCAAAGAAATTATGATTGGATGTACAAAAAGCCCTAAGAAAATGCGCACACCTTTCATTAAGGCCTTGCAAATGGATCGGCCAAAAACAACTATAGTTTACAGGGTATCACATATAGTCAGTAACTGGGGTTATTAATACCCGAATCAATAGTTTTTTGTTGTTTTTTTTTAATTTAAAAATAATTTTTCGATCTAATTAGTCCGTTTTGTCCTGACTACGACTGGGAACTAACGATCCTAGTTATACGTGACCAGATGTAACATTTGTATATATTAAAATATAGCTTCAGTAATTTGATATCGCAGGCGTAATTCCTATAATCAAAATGAACATGATACATTGTTCAGATTCAAGTTAAAACTTGATCTGTGCTATATAAAAACAATATGCATACTTAATATACAAGAAAATTATTTATGAGTCATTGATATACGATTTCAGAAAAAATATATAACACGGTTTGGTTTCAGCCACACTAATTTGCAATCAAAGTCTACAAAATGAGTAAGGCGATCATTCCGGGTATAGGGCATATCCTGTCAAGTATACAACACTCCTCTCCATAAGAAGTAGGGGGGGGGATGGCCGAATGGTTAGCAGGTGCGCGCTGCGGTGCGCCACGCTGTATCATACGGTCTGTCATTGAGTCAACTGGCGGGGTTTCGATTCCCCGGTTGTACGTGACAAGGAGTAGGGTCGCCTGTCCAACCTCGTGGGTTTTCTCCGGGTCCTTCGGTTTCCTCCCACTGCTAAAGACCCCTATGCGCAAGCGAATTATCGAAATAAAATTGAACCATGTGTTAGTCCCGAAATGACCTAGTTTGTGTCGAGTGGACGTTAAACCCCATCCCTCTCTCTCTCTCTCTCTCTCTCTCTCTCTCTCTCTCTCTCTCTCTCTCTCCATAAGAAGTAACATGATAGACCCCAAAATATACAACAATAAGTAAGGAAAACAATAAACAAATAAACAGCAAAATATTAATAGAAGGTTAATAAAGGGTTGCCGAAAGAGACTATAACAGAGATTTGTGAAGGGACAACGGAGAAAAATGAACCAACCGGGCTCCGTTTGAACTAAATAGACAATCTGGTTAAAACACAGATCCTATTTCGTTTCGTTTTTTTATAGTTCAAAATTTCGTTTTACTTGTCTTCACTACACTAGGATCTGGAAAAGTTGTTATATAAGCCGCGTTCTGGTTAATGTGAGGGATTAGCCAATGAAGCAATCTGCTATGGCGAGTTCTAGACGCGTACTGTACACGGAACTGTGCATAAACCACTAGAAACGTATATGTCTGACGTGGTAGAGTCAAAAGCCGCTCGTATGACCTCTGACGCGACCTGCAATTACAACCCGTCAGATCTTCATGTTGTGTAGGCCATCAAAAGTATAAAAAAAACGAAACGAAATATAGATCTGTATTTTAATAAGAGTGCTAAATAGATAACTATTGTGCTTTCACTCGATTTCCATGCCCAAGGAACCGAGCCAAGCCACGACATAGGAGTCAACTATAAAAAGGAGAAACATAACTTGTATCTATAACGTATCGAAATGAACAAATGGATTCATATCTTAAAATCAGTAAACAAAATTATACATATAAAAGAAACGTTTACGTCATTATCAGCGCATCTGATGTCATATCAATTTCGGTACATGAGCCTTAAATGTCAAATTGTATATGGTGTTGTACTACCATGTTCTGGATTATAAAGTACGTTATATATCGATCTATCTTCTTTGAATCGAGAAGAAAAACAAGAGTAAAAGTTTAGTGGGTTATTGTCACATATACAGCATTTTAGTTTTTTTCATTATATGTTAATCAATACTTCAACAGTGATGCTACTTAAAGAGCCATTGGGCAAGATTATTATAGACCAAGCACCGAGTATGGCGTCATCAAGGCACAATTGTCCAAGGAACTAGCATACCAAGTGTCATCTCGATCGTAGTTGAATTGCCCCCCAAGAACAAAGTAAGTAGAGCTTGGGCCCAGTTCCTTGTCCAATAAAAAAATGGATACCGTAATGGAAAATGAATAGGCTAGGCCCCTATAATGAACATTTCTGTGAAATTATCTTATTCTGGTCGAAGTTATGAATAGCTATATCAGGGTTCAAACAGAGGATGAAATTAAATTTGTATTAAATTTGTATTAAATTGCTTTTTTAAGACTTTTTATATATTTTCGGCTTTGCCGGTCATATAAGCTTTTAATGCAGATGCCTAATGGTGGGCATTGCCCAAGTCATCCGATGGTCTAGCTAGATAGTTGATTATTGGCGTGTCATGTGAATAAATGTCTAAATAATAATTTATGTAACATAATAGGCAGATTTAGCTGTTACATACCTCCTCTTTTTGGATGTTTGTTTTGTTGTGTACGATAATTCCAGAACGAAAATGAAATGAAAACGTATCTTAAAGGATTAAGATATTATTCAACCATTATTTATTACAATACAGGGTTCCAAAGAGCTTGTCATGTGATCATTTTTGACGGGACCTCTCTGCTATTGGATATACCGTTCACCCTCATCACTCTTAAATATTAAATGTTACTGAGGAATGGACTCAAGTTGTTTACTTGTTGAACATGTATTATGGGCCCCTTTTATACCCCTGGTTCATCTGCGCTATTTGCACCGTGGTAAATCCAGCACCGGAAAAATCATTTGCCCCCACCCAACCTTTTCACTTGGTTCACTGAGTACGTTCTCATTTCCTTTATAGAATTATATTTCCCATCACAGTTCATTCACGTACGGTCTACCTGTGCTATGTATTGCTAGAACACTTCGACATGTCATCATAACCTGGTCATATCAATAATAATTATATAGCTTGTATATGCACAATTGAAAATAGTAAGTCAATTTGCAATCGCTCAGGTGGCAACTAAGTTGGCACTTCCAGTGGTGTAAATTCGTGCCTTCTGTGGTTTTACCTGGTGCACTACATTCGGAGGAGCATAGCACACAAAATAGTGTCGCATTATGCCTAAATGCAGGTTAAAATAGATAAGACTTAAATACAGTTTGTTTTATATAATTTACACCTTTAGATGTAAATTTCTGTTACATTTGAAGGGACGTAACATGTATTATTTAAGCAGGATTTCTTTTGTTAATTTTTAAATTTTAAACTGCTTATAGTTTTTTGTTGAATTGCTTTTTTAACAGTGTAACAACTACAACAAACATTTTAGCACAATTACTTCTGGTTTAGTGAACATGATGATTTTATTTGACTTATGCCGATTGATTATTAATAATTGTACAGTGGCTATAGCTGGTGGCAAGCTGTGCGCACCTAATGTCCATTACTGGTAGCATGTTAGAGAGAGAGAGAGAAATGAGGCTTAACGTCCACTCGACACAAACTAGGTCATTTCGGGACTAACATATGGTTTAATTTTATTTCAATAATTCGCTTGCGCGTAGGGGTGTTTAGCAGTGGGAGGAAACCGGAGGACCCGGAGAAAACCCACGAGGTTGGACAGGCGACCCTACTTGTCACGTACAACCGGGGATTCGAAACCACGCCGGTTGATTCAATGACAGGTCTTATGATACAGCACGCACGTGCTAACCATTCGGTCATCCAACCCCCCAGCATGTTAGACATTACCACACCAAACACGAAGAATAAATATCGAGAGTTTCATATTATATCTTTAGAGAATGTTAAATGTTAAAGGGACAATAACACTCTTGCTGGCTTGAAAGCTCCAGAAAATAAATAATATCTCTATCTAAGTACTAGATGTTTAAGTGTCCTACCTGTTGTGTAAATTATCCATTACATCCTATTTTACTTGTCCAGAGGGTTCGAATATATTTTTAAATCGAAGTTTCATTTGAAAAGGTTTACGTTAGACGTTTCAAACCATTATGTTGAATTTTTCAAAATTTTTAAATAAGGTGTGTTAAGATGAATTTTGTATCATCAATTAATTGAAATATTTTAAAATAGTACAATTTTTTGACCAGAATAAAGATTGGGACATATTATTCAGTTACAACAAGAGTGGTATTTTTCATTACTAGTGAGTTTTATAATGTATGACGCCAAATCCTGACAATATTCAGAAAAAACGTCGAAAAAATATGCGAAATGTTCATGTGATTATAGCTCAAAACCTATCAACTTTCAAAGAAGACAAGTTATGATTTTCTAAAAGGAAATTGAATTCTCTTTCCAATGGAGTCAACTAGAAATATGCATCTCTCATCACTACTTATGTATCATAAGATGTATCTGAAAAAAAATTTGAAATTTTTTTCAAGATAACCTTTGGAGAAAAACTTAATGCTACAAAGTTCAAAATTAATCTGACAAGTTAATTTCATTTTAAGGAGAATTTAATTTCCTTCACAATGGTACAATATTTTTGAAAATCTGATGGTAAATAAAAAAAATGGCAACCATTTTAGTAAAAGAGTAACAAAGTCGTCAACCGTACTGTGATTGTTGCGACGGAGGAAACCGTTAGGTTGTCGACATATTTTGCTTACCTTGACTTGTTTAACTTAATATTAATGTACAAAGCTGTAGTTTTTAAGGCTTAATGGTGTTAACATGTATTCCATTGAAAAAGCTCAATATACAAAAATAAACAATTTTTTGTTGAGTTTCTGGGTGCTATCATCAAATTCGGGCGGCGACTTCAATGGATTGGATTTATGTTATTTATACTAGGTAAATCTGTTGTATACATGTATCTGAAGGAAGATATCCAGAAACATTCTGGGGAAAAAATGAGAAACACCAAAGAGTTTATAAAACCATCTTTATACATGTACATGTATATCTTTCAAACTTGTAAATTGAACTCAAAACTTTTTAAATTTTAACTCAAACTTCTGAACTCAAACTTCATAAAAGTGAACTGGGTAACATAACTCTGAAATAAATAAAAAGTAAAAATTAAAACTAGAACATAGTCCATTTTAAAATCAGCAAAATATCAACAAATCTTTGGTCCAAGTTCATTGTTATTACAAATGTCTATTTTGACTGAGATGCGTGGTACAGTGGAAAGCATGTTTTACACAAATTAACAGAACAGATATTGCATCCGAATGACGATTGGATCCCTCTACCACTTGGTGCACCTTTTCCTGAGGCACTGCACAAAACACACACACGTTTGCGCCCAGAAAAATGAACTAGCGAATGACCAGATATGTTGCTTTCATCGAACAAGTTTTCTAATTTACGTTTTGGGGTGCGTCTGTAACTTTTAGAAACTGCTCCACCAATCAAACACTTAGCCAGCGAATGACGAAATTCAAGTTGAGTCATTGGGGTTTTACCCAGTGCTTTCATGTGAAGCTTATAAATCAGAAAGCTGTTTACACATGCAACATTTAGTAAAAAGTAAAACAAATAGCGCCACCATTTTAGGCTTGTACGGCCAAAAGAATAGTATTGGCGGAGCTGGTCACCCAAGTCTACTCCCCCCATACATTTGTTGTAATTAATTATGCAAAGTGGTTTTGAAACATTTTCAATAATTCCAGCTCTTGTTCTGCGTTGTACTACCGACATTTCAGCATCACAGTTCGTAGACAAAATGTGCACCGTCTTTTTATCCTGCCATGCTGTTGCGATCAAGTTGTTACTTTGAATAAATTTGGTACTGCCTTTAGCAAGTTTATGAACATGTGATAGTGGATAGTATTTCCTATTGGACCGAATAGTACCACAGCAGTATGTCTTTTTATTCAAGAGTTCGATTGCCAAATCAATACTAGTGAAAAAATTATCGAAGTAAACATGTCGATACTCGTATAACATGGTTTCCATAAGGTCCATAACAACCTTGTGTCCAAGATTTTTTTCTTGTACTCCGTCGAGGCTTTTGCCAGTGTAAACATTGAAGGCATGTACGTAACCTGTATCAGACGCAGCAGCAATCCAAACTTTTATACCTCTTTTCGTGGGTTTCATGGGCATGTATTGTACAAATCCGAGGCGACCCTTATACTTAACCATACCCTCATCAATACTTATATTTTGTGGGGGATCATATTGTTCTCTAAAAGATTTTTTGCACATGTCTATCATGGGTCTTACTTTATACAAACGATCAAAACCATCTGCACCCTTAGCTGGCTGTTTAGTAGAATCGGTGAGATGCAAATCTCTTTGAATTGCAAAATATCTGTCACGAGACATGCACTTCCTTATGAAGTCACTGTTCAACGAGGGGTCTGACGACCAATATTGTTTCAGGGACGGCAAAACAATCAACCCCATCAGCATTGTAATACCTATAAAAGTTTTCAGTTCACTCACTGATATATTTACATCACGTCCATTTTGAGATGAATAACGGTTTGTCTCTAATTTCAATGTCTCCCAAAAAGTATTAGGAATCAACTGATCAAAATATGCGGAAGCTGGAGGCAACTTGGAACCATCTCCGGCGCCATCAACTATGTCAATCTGACCTACATTTGGAAAATTAGTCGGTCCTTGTTTTGCCGAAAAACGTTTGATAATTACCTTGCGAGTAATCTGACTCCATTCGAGATCGTCCCTATTTAATATGTCCTCAAAGTCATCATTTTCGCTGCTAGACTCTCCAGACGAATCGTATTCCAGTCCTTGTTCAATTTCAATGTCACTTTCATCGTCAAAATTATCATCCAATTCACGGTCATTTATTACCTCTTTTTGCTTCAATTCGGCACATTCAACGTCATAAGAATCGAATCCATTAAAATCGCCGTCTGAATCCGATGACGCCATTCAAAAATTCAACGAAAAACCTTCATTTTTACACAAAACTCTTCAATATAAAAAATTTCACGGAGGCCGCCATTTTGAATACTGCTATGTTTACAGTACACTCCAGTTGTCGTTAGTCACGTGAGAGTTTTGTTCCGAGTGGAAAATTACCGAGTTTTACCGACCGTCATTTCGGGCGACATCGGGCGATCCCGTACAGGACGTTACGGGCGGTTTCGGGCGCTTACGTAACGAGAGGTAAAGGACAAGCTAGACCTCTTTGTTTTATAAAGTCCTTTGAGAATTTCCAGCGTGCATAACGAGGAACCTGGCGTGGAAAAGTGACTAGTCGTTCGTGTGGGAAGAAAAGCGAGGTCTTCTGTACACATTGGCATGCACGTAAAATGGTAATGGAATATTAGTAGAACGCCCCACCGCTGTCCTCTGGCAAGATGCCCTTCATAGTATAATGGTGTGATAATCTGCCGATCGCTAAGATAATTAATGTTTATTAAATTAACCGCTTTAAGATCAACTGGCTAGTAAGCACTAGTAAGTGGGTAACGACGTTAATCCCATGTATTGTTTTTGTTGATTTATTATATTGTTTAACCCTTTATGCTTTCTTCATCTATCGAGATGTCAGTTTTAATTACAACATTTACTTTTATCCTATTATCTGATTTTCTTTAAATATAATAAATTTGTACATTGAGGGCAGTCACTAGATAGGATACCTTACTAAGTGCAGTAACTAGCCTGTCAGTACAGTATGACGATATATACTCTTCAAAAAAAGAAGGGGATATTCAGAAACAATACAAAACTGCGGAAATGCACTGCTGTTTTAATCAGAGGTAACCAGTGTATGTTAATAACAGACCAATCGCCTACACATGAACATAAACAGTTCATATGGGCGGCTTATCTGACTCCCCCATTTTACTCGCAAAGAGATACACTGTCAAAAGTGAAAATGGACGTTTTTGATTTTTGTCTTCAAAAAGAGGAATTGCTCCACCAATCCTTAGACATTCAGCAATTCGTCGTGGCATGCTTCTAATTAAACGTCCAATCACAATTTGGGGCAATCTGACCCACTCCTCTTGCAGTGCCACGGCCAATTCTTGCAGTGTTGTCGGTTGACGTTGACGTCGACGAACACGTTTCCCGATCATGTCCCAGACGTGCTCTATATGGGAAAGGTCAGGACTCAGGGCTGGCCAAGGCAAATGGACAATATGGTGACGCTGGAGGTAGTCATTCACACACGAGCGCGGTGGGCACGGGCATTATCATCTTGAAAGATGAAACGTCGACCTGCACGTTGAGCAAAGGGCAGAACTATCGGTGCCAGGGTGTGGTCACGGTAGTACACACCAGTGACCCTTCCTTGAACAATATGCAAGTCCGTTCTGTCAGTCATGGTGATTCCTCCCCACACCATAACAGACCTACGCCCGAATCGGTGAAATCCAGAGTAAATCTGGACTCATCTGAGAACATTACACGCGCCCATCGACGATTACCCCAATTTATACGCTGCCTACACCATTGACGCCTGTTTGCCATGTGCTGGCGAGTTAATGGAGGCACAACACGCGGTCGTCGCGCATGCAAATGGGCTGCATGTAGCCGATTTCTAATCGTTTGGGGTGTAACTCGGGGTGTGACTCGGTACAAGTTTCCAGAAAGCTGACTGACCGTTTGTCCTCGATTTCGCAGGACCTGTGTAAGCATGTATCGATCCTGGGCTTGTGTGGTGGCTCTAGGACGACCTGAACGAGGTCTATCATCAACATTGTGTGTTTTTTGGTACCGGTTTCACAGTCTGCTCGCTGTGTAGAACCCATTTAAAGCATGCCAATAGCACATAGACGTTCATCATATTGAAGACGTCTCATTGCAAATTAAACGCAACACACTAAAGCAAGAACCGATAGGAAAGTAAACATGGGTAGGATAAACCAGCACGCGGCAGTTTTCATCAACCCTTCCTTGAAGTGTCAAATTTGACAATGAACCCCTCCCACGTGTAGGGCGCTATTGCGTGTCCCACATGCAGCTCAGTGGTTCTGTTGGGGCGATAAGTTCTTCATCTGTGAACATACTCTGAAAGCATGTCAAGTGTCCATGACTATTTATCATATCACAACCCGCATAGGTATTTGCATTTCAATATCCCCTACTTTTTTTTTGAAGAGTATATATATATTTATGTTCCGGAATAATAAAGAATTCAAGAATCATTCAAAGTCTGTTATATTACACTTCTAAAATAGCACACTTTAGTCTGGTCGGCGCAGAAAAATAGGATGTTAAACCACATTTCATTTCATTTATGTTAAAATACAAGTGTTGAATTGGGTTGATCTGGAATGTTATTTAGACTACTGTTTGGGTAAGCCCATGTAGCAAGAGTGCAAAAAAAATTGCTTTTTAAATTTGTAGCATAGTATTTATTAATATCTATGGCTTATTATTAGATTCAGACATTGTACATAAGTCATATTATCGCATATGCACTTAAATCAAAATGAGTGAATGATTGACAAGTTGATACAGAAAAAGAGTTATAATTTGGTAAACATTCATTTCTAGGTTGATAACAGATATCACGTGTGAAATTTCTATTGTAAGTTTCCACTATCCATCTAAGGGTGATTTTCGACGTCATTAGGCTAATTAACCAATCGTTATAATTAATTACGTCATATTTGATCAATTAGATAATTGAAGGTCCAAAACCAAAAGTTACAAGACCGTTATATTTCTGAGCATTCGTCAGACAGCAGCTGGATTCTAGAAGGAGAAGATGTAGCAATCTCTCCGAAGTTCTGCTCCAAACTGGGCTATTATGCATTGTACCATATGTAAGCAGCTTGATATATAAAACGAACTGTTGCATTGTAATTCCTGGTAAGACAACCGTCTTAACTACTGAGAAGACAAACGTCTTAACTACTGGATAAGAGATAGAAGAAGCAATTACACAGCGTGAAAAGGAAGTCAAAGAAGACAAGTTAAAATACTAGACGATCACAAGGCTACTAAGATTATGTAGTAAGAAAAGAATGCATGGGTCATACGTAGGATGTGGCGACCGGTTTTGAGCTATGTCCGCTCTCCATTTTTGACAAAGACCCATGGTGCTACACTCTATACGATTAAATTTTTGTTTCATTTCTGGCTTACTGTGTAGACAATGAAACACAAAATCGACAATATCTCTATCTCCATATCGGTATTATCTACAGACGTTAAATTTTTAAAGAAGAATCGACATATACATCAACGAATTAGTTTGAACCTATATCAAAAACGTTCTAGTCATTTTAAGAAATCTGTTGTGATTATATTGCAATGTCTTTAGTCGGTGTGCAAAACGAAAAATATTGCCGCGATCATTCTCCAGAATGAAATAAATCCAGTAAAAGCTTTTATTGAAACAAGACCAATAGCTAGCATAGAGATAATTAACAATTGAAGAGCATTAAAATATACCCTCGTATCTACTTCTGTTATAAAGCGGTATAAAAACCAATATAGGGTATAATTTATATGGTACTGGGCGGCAATTTTGAAGACGTTATCAAATGTCAATCTACTTTCGGTTTATTTAATAAACGCCGGCGGCACTCTTTGTAAATGAGTGACAATAAATAGCAAAGACAAACGAAACTTATGAGAGTATACCCGACCGGTACAGCTGACGTTATAGGTGAACTCTTAAGAACTGAATGCCCATTTCATTTTTCTTAGATTATAAGTCACGCGATGTGAAATTTTGGCAGATAATGTTTTAGTCTCCCGGAATGCCGTTTTGTGAAATGAAATGGGGTTAACTTCCTACTGGCCCGTTTTTTAAGACAAATGTTATTTTCACATTTCTCTGTCCCTGCCGCTTTCGACAGGCCTACTATACTATACGGTTGGAACGGGGCTAGCGAGTTAGGATCAGTCAGCGCCTTAAGCGAATGACAGACGTTATGACAAGGCAGCACCATGGTCTAAAGTAATCAGTCTGTGGTTTAGGCGGATAGAACGTGGGGATGCGGGGGGCGAGGGGGGGGGGGCAATAGTTTGGTTCTTTACAAACTGTCCCAGTCAGTACTAGCAGAGATTATGATCGCTCCCGACCGTACGAAATCACTTTGTGTGATCCGCATCCTTCCTATCACTATAATGTATCGTTGTATTTAACATTAAGAGTATATTTTTAGTGTGTATAATTTATATGATTATAATCTTAAACAATGTATTTATATTTTTGTATATACATCATTATGTATGTTGTATCTTTATTATTTGCCGTCTTCAGTAGCCCAGTCGGTTCATAACAATAGGACGTTAAACCCCATATTTTCATTTCATTTTTGTATCTTTATTTTAGGTAAATATTTATTGAAGAAAAAAACAGTGTTAAGATAAAAGGCGTATGAGAAATCCTGTAGTGAGATTGTTTCATGTACTTTAGTATTAGAGATTGCAATACACATCCAATAAAAATAAAGTTATGTAAATTCCTAAGCGACTTTATAAAAGTCCCGCGGAAATCCATTTCGATCTGGTGTAGCCTATTCAAATCACAGCTAATCAAACTCGTTTCAACCATACATAAGCCTGTTCACTAATCCTACATCACAAATTAAACTATTTGTAGATTGTTACTTGATGTTAGGGCGTTATTTGCACAGGCGAGGCTAAACAGCGATCAGTTTATGGCTTATCAATCAACAAAAGATTATTAATAAAAATCAACTAACGGCCCATAAAATGAAAATTTATATGATATTATCAACTTGTAATAGGATTTCTTTGTTGTAGGCTGTTAAATCTGTCAGGCTCACAACCTCGTTGTGGCTATAATATTATTGATAATATAAGCTTTATGAGACGACCATATGGCCTTAGCCCTTAGCATCTGGAAGGAGAAATTCTTTGTTTGGTATAAATGGCTATTTTTTGGGGACTGTGTGTCGTCAGTTGTTACAATTTGGTGTAACAAATAAGACTTCAGGGGCTTTAGTCCGGCCCGGACTCTTTACTTCTTTGTCCATACAAAGTAATAATAAATTGTCATCCGGTCGGTGTACAATTACTTGACAGTTTCTGAACTTTATTACTCCGCAGATAACTTCATCAAAGAAACCCTTTTATTAATAAAAAATACGGCGAGGATTTTCGCCTTTTAAAGTCGATAATTTGTGGTTTGCATAGACCAACAATAGAACACAGACTATGATATGGT